ATAAAGAAACACAGAGGACTGATAAATACATCTAACAGCTTGTTAATTGGGAAAAATATAGGATGACTAGCAAATATAAATAAGATAAGACAAGTGAATTCACAAAATAAGCAATGTGTTAGAGAAGTTAAAAGATTTACAAAAGAGGTATTGATTACCACTGCAAATTATTTTTTAAAATTGTATCAGATATAAACAAGCCAAATAAAAGAATTACAGAAAGAAATCAGGAAGAGAAAAAAATATCTAAATGGACCAATTGTCATAGAAAAAAACACACTGCATAGAAGAAAATAAACAAAGAGCTGCTTCCCTAAAGCATTGACAGAAGTTTCACAGTTGAATTTCACCAAACGCTGAAGGAAAAGAAAAATCCAAATAAGACAGCTTCTAAATATTTTGTATAAAGCCAACACAACATTAATTAGCAAAATATAAATAAAACCCACAAAACTAAGTTAAATACAGCTCTAAAGGGAAAAGCACAGATCAATTTCACTCACAATATTAATGACGTAATTCTAATAAAAGACATGGAATTAAGTAACATATTAAAAAATGAGAGATCATAACTAAGTGCCATTAACTCCAGAAAGTCAAAGAAAATGTGTTAGGAAATATTTGAATATAAGCCTCATGTATTTAGAATCAAAAGAATCACATGCATATCCACAGATGCTAAAAAAGACATATTACACATCTTTTCAAAATCAAATTTCTCAGTAAAAGAAAACATTAAAATCTCTCTATATCCCCTAAATTTGTTTATAAATGTAACATGATTTCAATGAAAATAGAACCAGTAATACTTTTAGAATTAAGAAGCTGATTTTAAAGTTCTTTTGGAATAACACACATTCAGGATTAATCAGGAAAAAAACTGAAAATGAGTAAAAAACAAAGACCTATCTTAGCAGAACCTGAAGCATATTGTAGAGTTAAAGAAAATAAAAATAGTGTGGTGCTGACACACGAACAGATAGATGGAACAAAAATGAAAGTCTAGAAATAAATCCAAGTATATATAGAAATTTTGTACATGATAAAGCTAGTATTTTAGGTCAGTGGAAAAAGGATGGATTTTTCAATAAATGTTTTGGGACAACTCAGTTGCCATCTGGAAAAACAAAATTAGATCTGTACTAACACAATTCCAAGTGAGCCAAAGGTGTAAACAAAGACACCCATAAAGTTTTTAGAAAAGATATGAGACTTAAAAAAAAACAAATCAAATCTGAGACAGGGAACAGACATTTTAAAGCAGAAAACTCAGATACCATAAAAGAAAAAGCTGACAACACAGTATATCAGAAATTTCTACATGACCAGAGTTAAAGCCAAAAGGTTACTAGAAAAACTGAAGCCGATTCATACAGTACATATCACATATCCCACTCAACGTGTAGCAAGATGAAATTAGGCTGCCTCTGTAATGTGACTCCATGATGTAGTACCTTACAACAGGAAAGAAAGATAATAAAGGGGAGAAAAAGATGTCCCCAGTAGTTAATGTTTTTCTCAAAGGATCAATATCATTTTATATTCTAATTGATTTTAAAAACTTTCTTCTGGGCCCTCTTCAGACAATTAATAACATGCTAAGACTTATAGGAGTTCCCTTACTGCTGGGTAAGAAACAAACCAGGAACTCTTTATGAATTGCTATCTATTTCACATTCAGGGCCACAGGGCTAAGGGAGACCTCCAGGATTTACTTGGGGGTATTCCCTGATTTCTGGCAGGAATGTAACTGAACCATTCCTTGACAGGTACATTAATTCAATATCAAAAATCTGCAAGAAATCATATAACTTCCACCTGCATTAATTCAGTTTTGGGTTTCATAACCTGAGCCATTGGAAAATAGTCAATTCACTTAAGAATACAGGCTTTCAACATAGTATCATTAGCTTTTTTATCAAGGCAAACACATGTTAAATGCGAGGTATTAAACTAGAGAACTGTGACCTTATGATCTTCAAATCTTACAGATAACTTTTGGCATAGAATGTTATTTCAGATAAGAGATGCCAAATAAATGCTTATTGAATTGAACTGAAAAGCAGGGGAAAATCTGTCTGGTTTTCAAAGTACATTAATGGCTTGGGGCTTCTTTGCTGTGTCTTACTTTCTCATTTCCAGAAATCAACACTTAGTTTCCACTTAAAAAAATTACAAGAAACAAGAAAAATGCTAACTTTTCTATGAAGCTTATCCAGTTATTCATTCAACAAATATTTGATGAATACCTTTTGCTAGACACTGTCCCGGGTTCTGAATATTTTAAATGCATGCTACCATGTTTTAAATAACAGTGTGTAATGATAAGAACCTCAATGATTCCATGCAAGCTAAACATTCCTGATGTGAGTTTAATGAGCTGCTGTTTAGAAAGTTTACCATCAACCTGACATTGAAGGTAGTCACATTCTCCAATTATCACTAATTATATAATGCCAACTCTCTTATTGGTAATCATTAGGTAACTTGCATCTTCCCACCCAGAACCTTAACAGAATGCACTTGATAGTGAGTTAAGGAATTCAGAAACTTGACTGCAAAGTGGTGTCACCTCTATCAAGTCAACTCTGCAGAAGAAGCTTCCCCTATCTGCAAAATAAAGAGAATTTAAAAAATAGTAAAGGCTCTTTTGTCTGATATTTTAAAATCTTTAAGATCTAATTAATTCTAAGTCCTCAGAAGAAAATCACTCCACATTATGAGTTTTGGCTCAGTTCCTATTAGTGATACAAAATTTTCCCTTTACTCCTGTGTTGTGACATCAAACAGATAAAACACAGGCCAACTAAAGAATGTCTCTTGACTTCAGGTTCTATAAGCATGAAGTCCTTAGCCAGTGCAATTACTAACATTCAGGACACCCTGAAAGGAGATAAGGGAGGAGATCAGGAATGAAGCACTCTAATCTCCAGGAAAAGCTAGCAGAACAGGTCTTCAGATAGTCAGAGACTTTCAGAAGACTTTATGAGCCCAGTTTCTTGCATCTTCTCCTATCTAGAAAAGCACTAAAATCATTAATGGAGACATCTGCTCCTTGGGACTAGCAACTGTCTGCCAAAATGTGTGCTTAAGTGCAAGCATCCTCTTCATGGAAGTCACATACAGTGACCTCGTCCCACCTCTTCAGAGCAGTTCCACATAGTTATCTGAGAGGCTGTCTCTCGGGCTACAGTCTTCATTTTGCCCCAGATGAAACTTAACTCACCACTCTTGGGTTGTATATTTTTTTTTCCCCCACATACACACAAATACATCCGTACATAACTATATATATATATATATATATTTTTTTTTTTAAAGCGGTCACCAAGAACACCCTTTTACAGGTGCGTTTTGCTCAACATACTTGATGATTTAGCAAGAGCTTTGGTTTCCTTGGCAGATTTTCTTTTACAAAAGGATGGGGGAGGGGCAGCTGCCTAGTGCATATGTTTTTATTACCCAAACTTAATAGTTTTCAAGATAAAAGGTTTCAAACTTGAAGGAGGAGTTTAGTTTGTCGTAGCTGAACTTTAGACAGTTCCTCGGCCTCCCATGGACATGACGATAGGCAGCTAACCATAGGAAGCGAGATCTAGTTTAAGTCCTGGATGGGGAAGGGGGTGGAAATAATAGAGACGTTTCCAATTTAGATACAAAGAGTACTGTCACGGAAAAAAAAAGAGCGAGCTCCCTCCTTGAGGCGTGGGACACCTGCCCACCCCCGGGCACCGTCGGTGATTTCAGATGTGGGGAACCACGCGGGGCCCAGCGTCTTCCTGTAGGAAGAATGCACTGGATGAATCGTAAAGTGGGTCTGTTTCAATGGCCTCCAAATATATTCTGCACTCCTTGGAGGTCATCTGATGCTCTCAAAACAAAAAACAAAAACAAAACCCAAACTCGCAAACTGACATATATTTCAAATCTTTTGAGGTATTTACACTTAAAAAAAAGTTGTACTCAAACCTTTTTATTCAAAGCATTTCATTCGAAACCAAAGATGTGAACCGTCATTGAATCCACCCGTGGGAGCTGGACACTGCGCTTCCCGCCGCGTAGGGTCCCGGCCGCCGCCCGGGGCCTAGGGCTCCGGGTACCGCCGGGCGGCGGATTCTCCCAAGGCGCGCGCTCGCGGCCCGAGGGCGGGGCGGGGGGGCGGAGGGAGGGAGAGAGGGCGTGGAGGCGGTTCCCTCGGAGCGTCCAATCAGCAGCGAGGGCCGGCGGTGGCGCTAGTGACGTAGGCGGCGCTTCCCCCCGCCCCACTGCGGGGCCGACGCTCGGCCCCGCGAGCCACGCGAGCTCGCGCGCGCGAGAAGTTGTTGGGGAGAGGGGAGGAGTAGGGCTTCGGGGCCGGCCGGCTGTCGGAGGGCGGCGGGTCGTGGGAATGAGCATGCGCGGCGGCTGCGGCGAGGGCGGGGCGGGCGGACGGCGAGGGGGCCCGTGTGCGCGCGCACGAGCGGCCCGCCGGCGGCCGCGGGTGGAGGGGGCGGGTCCTCGAGTGTCGGCGGCAGGAGGGTGGGCAGGCGGGCGGCAGGAGGGGCCGCGGCCGCCGCCGCCGCCGGCTCGTCCGCGTCGCGCCTCTCGTCGTCCTTGCGCGGTGATGCCTGGGCCCCGTCGGGGGCTGCACCTGCCGGCTGCCCGTCACCCCGGCCCTCGCGGCGTGACCTCGGCCTCCTCACTCGCGCGGCGCGGCCCCTGACAGGCCGCGGCCTCCACAGCGCCCCGAGTCCTCCTCGCTCGCGGGCCGCGCGGGGAGAGCGCCCGGCCCCCGCCCCTCGCCGGCCGGCGGTCCTCAATGTCTCCCCGGCGGGGAGGGGGCTGCCTGGGAGACGCGCTGATCGGCCCCCCGGCGGAGGCCCGGCGGCGGCAGCAGCGACCAGCCGGGCGCCCCGAAGCCTTCCCCGGCGGCGGCGGCGTTGGCGGCGGCCTGGAGGAGCCGCGCACCCGCCGCCGCCCCCGGAGCCCGAGGAGAGGGCGGCGGGCGCCCCCCGGGGAAGATGAAGGCGGAGGGGGGCGACGCCTCCATGATCAACCTGTCGGTGCAGCAGGTCCTGAGCCTCTGGGCCCACGGGACGGTGCTGAGGAACCTCACGGGTAATTGATGCGCCGGGTGGGGAGCGGGACTCGGCGCCGCCCCTCGCCTCCCGGCTCCCCGCGTCACCCCGGCTCCGGAGCTCGCGGCCCCCGGTCCCGGCGTGGAGGATGGGAATGGGAACCGGCCCGTGCCCGTTCTGGGGGAGCCGACTCCGGCCCCCGAGCGCTCCCCGCCCCCGGGCTCCAGAGTGGCTGCGGACAGTCTACGACCCCCGCCTCGCTCCCTCCTGCCCTGCCTCCGTAGTACGCGCGGCACTGCTTTAGCGCCGAGTCTTAGTACAGTTAGCCTTTATTTATGCCCCCCCTCACCTGCATACAGACACACGCGCGCGCACACACACACACTTCCCCACCTGCATACACACACGCACACACACGCGCTTCTTGCTCTTCCGATCTTTTTCTGATTTAGCTCTTTCTAGCAAATCTCAAGTCGAATGCAGGACTTAAATTGCCTGCTCGCATTGATCGGTTTGCTTCAGTTGTTAATTTTTTTTTTTTTTTGCGATATAAATGACTCCTTAAGTAGATTATATTAGGTCACGGGCTGGACCAAGGTGTAGCGCGTTCTAAGCACTTTTTGCTTTTATCGTGTATCTTCTTCCTCTTCTATCTCCTTTTGTCTCTTTCCCTCTGCCCTCAAGCTGCTGCCCCTGTGACATTGATAATCTTGTGTATTTCCCTTCACAAGTCAGGGCTGTCAGGAGAGAATTGGACTTAACATGTTATAATAATTAACAGCAATTTCTGGTTGTAAAAGTGAGCCATAATACTCAGACTTTAAAAATAGAATTTGTAGGTCTGCTTTGTGAAGAAACTTCTAGCTTGGTTACTATAGAAATGCTTGTCTTATACCCTGAATTTAAAACATACCTTCTAAAGATGAGTGTTTACAAGATAAAGTAATTTCAGTTGCGGTTTGATGACCCCTCAGTTCCTGCTTCTCAGTGAAAAATCTTACAGACATACTCAGGATTTAATTCCTGTATAAGAGTTGATTTTGATAGAGCATTAGTATTTCAAAATGCATTATGTTAAACTGGTTAAGAGGATGATGAGTATTTTACAAATATAACCTCTCTTGATAGGGTACAAGATATTATAAAGTCTGGTATATATGAAATTCAGATATTCATAGAGAAAAACTGAGGGCTGACTTTAAAGACATTGGGTGTCTTGCATGTGGAAACTAAAATTAACATCAATTCTGGACTGATTCACTGACTTTTAATCTGTGTTATTTAACTCAGAGCACACCCATCTTACATGATGGTTGCAGGTCAGGAACATGTTTTTAGTTCTGAAAAACCTAAACTGACATAAAAACCATTTTATAATTCAGTTGAATTTTGTGATATACTGCTTTATCTTACTTAGGGCTTTCTTTGTATTTATCCACTGTTTTTAAATGTTGTAAAATGAAAAATGAGGATTTGAGTATATGTATTTATATCTGTTAATGGCTGTCTTAGCTCATCAGTGGATATTTAGAGAAAAGTAATTTTGGGAACCATAGAGTGAATGTAACAGCCTCCTGGCCAGAGTTAACAATATGTTGAAATACTTTTAAGATTCTGAATCATTATAGTGGCTTACAGTTCCCATTCAACCATTAGGTTAACAATAGTAGTCTCAACTCAGGGTTAGCTCCAATTATCTCCTTATGTAATCTTAATAATCATCAGTTTCTCATTGGACTTTGCCATTTTGTAAAGAATATGAAATATGCTGAATATTCAAAACCAGGACTCAGGTGGGACCGAGGAGCATGGGAACCTCTTCTAGGAAATAAATACAATCTTGAGTATGCAAAATTCTGTGAAAATGGAGAAAACAGATTAGAAATAGGCTTCACCAGCAGGTGAATGTACCACGTGTTAGGAACGACTTCACTGCTAAAAAACGGACTCTGCAGGTGGTAACATTGTGATGTGGTTCCTTATGGCCTTCTCCATGCTGATCCCATATGCAGCTTGATCATTAGTTAAGAGATGCTTCCTGCAGTGCCATTTAGAAGTCAATCTATTAAAAAGAAGTCAAACCCGACTTGTGAAGCAACATAACTCCTGTTTCTTGAATGCCTGCTATGTATCAGGCACTTTACAAATAATTACTTCTAATCATCAGAATACAGAAGATTTACAAAGAAGCTCGGGGAGGTAAATTAAGTTGACCGACTTCATATAGCTCGAAATGATTAAGCAGGTATGAAGCCCTGGCCTCTGCCTGCAGAACCGCTCCTTCTCCCTTTCCAAGCTGCTTTAGCTGCTCCTCTGTCCTCACACAAGCCGAATTACTCTCTTCATCCTGCTACTTCTGCTCCTTGTACATGCTTTTGTTGTTACGTTTCTCAGTTACATTTTCCGTTTTATTCGTGTCTTTGAGACTGTGAGCTTTCTGAAGTTTGGGTCCTTGTTGTAATTATGGAATTCTGGAACGCTAGCATGTTATATCTGGCACGTAGTATATGCTCAATGCATGTGTTTTGAGCTTTTGAAACAATACTTAACAGATACATGATTAAAACACTCTGGTTGCCTTATTTTTCAGCTACATCTGTTGGAATGAATGTGCTTTTAAGGAGGACATAAGGTGTTTAAGCAATTTATATAGATAATTGTCATACCTTTAAAACATACAAATGCTATTTTTGGTGCTAGTTGCCATTCTTTCATTTGTTTTATTTCATCTTTTCAACCATTTTGAGAGAGAGTAGTGTTTATCCTTATTTTGTAGACTCAGACATTGAAGCATAGAGTACCTGCTTGGATCAGGTAGCTCATAAGTGAAAACTACTACTTTTTCAGATTGTGATTATTCAGTCAGAAGGCATTTTTTTGTCATCATCATAAACTTGGAGATGAAACTAGAAAGGAGCATAGTGTAGAACCAGGCTGATGTATTTTAGATCTAAAGACCAACTTTTAGAAACGAGTCTTACGTATGTATTGCTTTGATAGAAATACATGTTTAAAAAGTGATAGGAACTAAAAATTAGAATTAGCTTAACACTTTGGAGATAGAAGTTATATAGTTTGGTTACTTCATTATAGAATTACTGAAATACACACTGCTGGGATCAAACGGTCATTTATGACAGGGACAGGACTAGAACTGATGTTCACTGACTCTCAGTTCTGTACCTTTTGCTTTTATTCCACATAAGTTCTTAACTCAGGAGGTCTGACAGATGATAAATCTTAAGGCACGTAAAAGTCGCTGTGTAAGTATTCACTCCAAATGAGCCCAAGAATGGGTGAATGGAACTAAATTTTTCCAGAAATAACAGATACTGGACATTGTAAGATATTGACTAGTGATAATAATAGTAATAATCTTTCTAAAATGTTAAGTTGCCATAGTCTCTGTAAAAGTTAGTGACCCATATGTATTATATATCTAGTTTTAGAAACTATACCAGTTTCTGTCTGTGTTTTTCTCCTTCCAGGAAGACAGTAGTATGGGGATTCCGTATAGAGATTAACCCCTGGAGACCTCATCTTTGTCACTTAGCAACTATTGCCAGGGTTCTCTTCTGTGTTTGTCACTTCCCAGTGTGTGTGATTCTCAGGATTCCCAAATTGTTTGTTAACTGTGTGTAGGTTATATGCTTATTCAGCTCACTCAAGTAGAGAGATACGTGGTTTCCTTACTTCTCAAGTATTTTTTCTTTCTCTGAATACGTCTTAGAGTCCTCCTCCTTGCCACAACTTAAAATTAGATTCAGTATGTATATACTCTTTCAGTTTTGTGGGTAACCTGACTTTTAAAAAATGATCTACAGTGAAATGTATTCTTTTGCTTTACATTTATTTTCTTCAGCTTACACTGGCTCCCAACCTTGTGTTCCCACCCAGGTTTGGTTGCTAAGAGTTTAGAGAAGAATTTTCTTACTTAAAAGGAGGCAGGATCCTTAGACCCCTGGATAAACACAGCGCAGCTGGTATTGGGAAAGGAATAACTGGTCCCCAGGAAAAAAAGCGAAGGTAGGCTGCACCCCTCTCCCAGTGTCAGCAGCAAATGTGGGAGCTGGTGCTGTCTTCTCTGTTGATACAAACACCAAGAAACTGGAAATTCAAACTGGAATGAAGGTCAGAGGTGTGTATGTGTGTTTATAAAATATATGTGTGTTTCTTTTCCCTGTATACATGCACACTATTATATTCCACCTTTAGACTTTGTAGTTGCTAAGCCACTCTAGTGTTAATCAGGTTATCAGAAAAAGAGGGAAAACAACTTGGTATTTGCTATACCTATTTGTAATTGTTCACATCTTGTACTGGGCTTCCCAGCTAGCTCAGTGGTAATCTGCCTGCCAAGGAGACTGGGTGTTCGATCCCTGACTCGAGAAGATACCCTGGAGCAGGAAATGGCAACTCACTCCAGTTTTGTTGCCCAGGAAATCCAATGAACAGAGGAGCCTGGTGGGCGATACAGTTTGGGACGGCGGGGGGTTGGGGGGTCACAAAGAATTGGCTAGGACTCAGTGACTAAACAGCAACAAAACCTCATGCTGGTAGCCAGAACCTTTCTCTGGCGGTGCTCCCAGACAGGTTTGCTCCGCTGAGTGTTACCCTGTGTTCTAATGTCCCATTCCTGAAGGATCTGTTATAAGAGGTGAGTTTATGTAGATAAAAGTATTTCAGATGTCCACTTACAGATATGTTTTGTAAATGTAGTCTTTTTTAAATTAATTAATTTTAATTGGAGGCTAATTACAGTATTGTAGTGGTTTTTGCTGTACATGAATGGCATGAATCAGCCATGGGTGTACATGCGTCCCTGATCCTGAACCCCCTCCCGCCTCCCTCCCCATCCCATCCCTCAGGGTTGTCCAGCGTCCCAGCTTTGAGTGCCCTGTTTCGTGCATTGAACTTGCACTGGTGATTTGTTTCACATATGGTGATATACATGTTTCAGTGTAAATGTAGTCTTAAAGACAGTGTGCTACTTTTCAATATTTGTGCCTGATCCCCAAATTCACTTTTTCTGCAAACATG